GAGAAGTGTCAACAATCACAGGGATCGGCGGGATCCTGGTCGCGAAACGAAAATGTCGTCTCTTTTGGACTCGCGTTTGGTCCTGGCGTTCCAAAAGTGCCAACACGGAACTGTTGGCACGTTTGGACTTGCGTTTGGTCCTCGCGCTTCAAAAGTGTCAACAGTCACAGGGATTGGGGGGCATCCTGGTCGCGAAACGCAGAGCCGTCCTCACTTTTGGACTTGCCTCTGGAAAGAGGAGAGGAGAGAGGAGAAAAGAGAGAGGAGAGAAGATAGGGGAGAAAAGAGAGAGGAGAGAAGGTAGAGGAGAGAAGATAGAGGAGAGGAGAGAGCGGAGAGGAAGAGAGAGAGAAGAGAGGAGAGGAGAGGAGAGGAGAGAGGAGAGAAGAGAGGAGACGAGAGAGGAGAAAGGAGAGAAGAGACAGAAGAGAGGAGAGAGGAGACAGCAGAGAAGCGAGAGGACAGGAGAGAGAAGAGACGAGAGAGGAGAGAGCAGAGAAGAGAGAGGACAGGAGAGAAGAGAGAGGAGAAGAGAGAGGAGAGACGGGAGAGGGGAGGGAAGAGAGAGAGGAGAGGAGAGAAGAGAGAGAGAAGAGGAGAGAGGGGAGAGGAGAGAAGAGAGAGGAGAGGAGAGATGAGAGACGTCAGAGGAGATAGGAGAGAAGAGAGACGAGAGGAGAGAGGAGAGGAGAGAGGGGAGAGGGAAGAGAGAAGAAACAGGAGATGAGAGAGGAGAGGAGAGAGAGGAGAGGAGAGGAGAGAGGATGACCCCGGACCTAAGTTTCTTGATTGGTTTTGCGTGTGGGGGTTATTATCTTTATGATGTATGTGTCACGTGTCCGCATTCGGGTTCGTGGATCCTATCAGGTTTTTGGGTTTTGGCATGGAGTTGTTCCAAACGTGCTGACTTGTGTAAATCAAGGACTTAGATGACTTGGGCGCAGTGGCCGCTGCCATCCTTCCCGAGACACGGCTGCTGAGCTCCCTTCTTGGTCCTGCTGTTCAATAAAGTTCAGCGAGTACTAACCTTGTGGGTTGGGCGTGGTTGAGGGAAGCGGGTTCAGTTGCGATTAGTCTTTCGGTTTCAGGCATGCATCCGTAAGTGCTGTGCTTCAGTGTGCCGGGCTTCTCACTCAAGAGCTGAGGCCCTGAGCCAAGAATAGACCCCCCTGGAGTGCTACCAAACCCTAAAGGTCCTAAATCCTGGACCCTTGCTGCACTACTGCCCCTGCTTCTGGGCGCTGGAGATGCAGGCTGTTGTGGGTCGAGTCTGCATCAAATCCGTTGGGACACCCGGCCGACGTACCTGGCCTTGCCAAACTCTGCAAAGAGCATCGGGAGCGCTCACAACAGCGACTGTGCCTTATCTCACTTTGGGAAAGAATGGTATGCTGCTTGTCACTGCCCCGCGCGAAGAGAGCTAGGCATTTGGTGGTGGACAATACTTGGTGCGGGCCCTACGCACTTCGGCCGCTGATGCAGGCATGGGAAGCTTAGAAGCACCAACACAGCTTACCAGACTAGAAGTAGCGGCATTCTTACTAAGGTTACCGTGGCTGACAGGTTTTGGGTTGGATTAATTAAGCTATTGGCTGCAGGGGGCAGATCTGGTTGTGGAGTCTCTGACGAAGACCATTGGGGGCCACTCGGATCTCCTGTTCCTGGGCGCAAACGGCAGCTGGGGGTGGCGTTAGGGATTGCAGGATCCTCTGATTAAGCTTTGCCAAATCAGCGACAGACAAGGCTATCCCGTACGCAATGATAGTATTCGAGCTGATCTAGGCCGTAGACTTAGACCCTAGGCAAGAGAGAAGGCAATCTACCCAATTACGTGAAAAGAGCTTGTTGGCTGCATGTTGCTTCGCGTTTATGGGTCCTGGGTCAACGGGAGACGGAAGTTAGCTTGAAAAGCCCATGAAGGCAAGCATCTGCTTTCTGGAGCGAGGAATCCAACCTCTGCCGGTACCTCTTTAGTATGTCAGCCCCGCCTTTCTTCTTTAACGAAACACGAAGCCACGAAGCCAGGGTTTGTATGCAGCTGGACTTAACCCTGGTTAAACCACCTATTTCTTGCAAGACGCTAGGCGGAAGGATTGGTGATCGCTATGCTTCATATGCCGCAGCTTTGTACACGCTTTTGGCTGAACAAGCCGGCACCGGAAAGTCAAATCGGATAGATGACAGGACCATCCGGCTCAAATCGACAGGAGTCACCTAGCCATTGCCAATGCCGACGAGGGGTTGGGGGAGGATGGAGAGACGACTTCAGAGCGTCAACGACTTCTTGACACCGGCTACAAGAAAGTGACGCCTCAGCGTTGTTGTATCGAAAGCATCATCAGTCAAGTTGACGCGAGCCAATCATTTCCATGCGATATGCTGCCTTCAGGGATGTGGATCAACAAATTAGGCTAGGGGCCTGAAATGGCCTGAACATGCCCGCTGCGTTTTTACACTATTCTGAAATTTGTCCCGACAGGTGCCATGGCGTTGTCTTCGAGGGTGGGCTACAGACTGAGGGATTCGTGTTTAGAGGGTAAACAATAACTCGTCTTCGAGGGAGGGATGGGGATTGAGGGGTTGAGGTTTAGAGGGACTAAACGAAGAACAACCAAACCGGAAAGGACCAAAAAGCCAAACCGGAAAAGCATTAAAAAAAAACACAGCCAACAAATCAAAAACAAGCAACAACAACAAAAAAAAAAACAACATCAACAACAACAACAAC